CGCGAGCCAAGTTCAGGATTTTATCACGCAGTTCCTGGTATCGCAATTTCGAATCGATGAAAAATTCCGTACACGCCGACTGATAAAGTTCCCGGCTGGCGTCTTCGCGCTACTCTGCGTCGCAGATAAAGCAACCTTTTAAGCCGGTTTGAGTACAAGGTCGATTTTAATTAGCCCGTTCGTCCGTTTCCGAGTGGTCTGTACGCGTTCGAGGCGGCGGCGGCGGCGACGTCGTCGAATAGAAATCAATCGTCGCCAGTTTCTCAGCGACTCGATCGCACACACTACTCGGCGGTCATACAATTTTCACACGAAAAATGCGAGACTCGAGTCAGCCGTCCGAATCGTGATACGTGTCGAATCTGAGTTCCGCATATCATTCACGCTTCCATCACGTACGCTCATCCGATGAAATTCAAAACGAGACGTTTAACGTCATGAGTAATGAACTCTGCCGTGGACTGGATGCTGATAATAATTCTGGGACAGTATTTTTAAAGCGTGAACATTAGTATGCTACGAAGTGTCGTTAATCGCACCACGGCCGTCAGTCATATTTTGTTCACGCGAAGAGATCGAAAATCTGCATTGAAAATCTTCTACAATTCTCCATAGCCGAAATGTGTAGAGATTACGAATAATTACGCGTGTGTTGCGTGATTTCTCATTGAGTGGTTTGTACATTTGACTTCTCGAAAAGGTCATTAACATAAAAAACAGTATTCGTGACAACTGTGAATCTGCAATTACTTTAAACGGATCGAAAACGCGTTGTGATTGCAGAACAAGTCGCCAAGAGGCAAAATCTGAACGCGGCTTCAACCGTTGATTGCACACTATATATTGCACTGTATATTGCAATCATACACCACCATGAGGTTTTCGCTGGCTATAATATTCGCGATAGCGTTATTTTTCTTCCTGTCGACGTCGAGCACGCGCGCAACCGACTCGAGCGTATCGCGGGAGGAAAAGCGCTTCGTGCGCTTCGATAACTACAAAATCGAAGCGGGATCAATAATTAATGTCCCTATACAATGTTCGCCGGACAAGGTCAAAGTTGGAAATCGCTGTAGAAGCGTCATTTAGGTGAGAAAGCGTCTTTTTTTCGTTATACAAAAAATGTCTTTATATTTATGTTATATGAGTTTTATGTAGTAACGCAATATTTTTTCATCACAGACGCAGAATTTATCTTCGTTATAAGTAAATAATAATAAACAAAAATTTGTTTATTAATACATGTTTACGGAATAATGCTATAAATTTGCATTAAATTATGTCTATTACCCAATTTTTTAAATCTTTATTTTTTCTGAGTATCCGTCTACTTATCAATAATACTCGACTTTTATGATGCACTGACGTCAAGCGCGTCCGCATTTATGTCTAGTTGACACGGCATGACGTAAACTTATAATTCCAATGAAGCATACGCTTTGAAGTTTATTTTCTTTGCCGGAAGTCGCTAGCATCATCGAATATTCCAGTACATCAGTGCCATCAACACACACAATCATCACCTCATATCGATCCCTTTATACCCGTCAGACTTAAATATACAATAAATTGCTTAAGTTTTTACTTGTAACGGTCATTCTATTTCCGCGTGTACTGTGTAGTTCTCACTTTTGATATTTCTGTTTGTGTGTAAAACCCGTGTGTAAAACCTTTGATAATTAATTGTATATGTAATGTTGTACACATAATGCATTGACAGGACATTCTTGATTTTTGTTGCAGAATTTTCGTAAATGATTAGACAGCTATCTATGAACTATGGCATTCTCGAAAAGGAAGAAAAACAAGAAAATTATTCTGAAGATCGGAAATAATCAACAGGGATTATAGATTTATATGAGAGATATCTAATTGATTAACGAAATATATAAGATCGGCATAAGACCGGATTGTCAACTGTGGAATTCCTTCGAATTAATTAAGATATGGATTAAGATCTAATCAACATAATATTTTGTCGCGCCAGATTGCCTATCGTCACAGATTAAAAATAAATTTTGACTTTGTATCAAGCGGATACAATTGAAACCAAAGTGAAATATGAAATACCAAAATCATACATTATATAATATATTAAATATTAATTAAATATTAAAAATATTTAATATAATATTATATATTAAAAATTAGTTAATATTTTATTATTCAAATAGGTTAAATTAATTGAATTTCTTTCTCTAACAAAAATAATTGAAATTAGTTATTAGCTTTTAACATGTATAAAGTAGAATACCATCGCATATAATTGTTGTAATAAGATATTTGATACGAATAATTAATATTTGTATACTAAATATGTATCTATAAAATTGTCATATATGTATTATGAAAGATAGAAGAGAAATGTACTAATACATTTATATCTTTTTCTTGTCACCCGTATTCCCACTGACTCATGAATAAAGGTTAATTCATATAATGTGCATATAAAACTTCAAATGCGAGGCGCGCAATCATTCTCAATAATTTATCATGTTACGGGAAGTGTCGGATAAAAGCTCATGCGTAAGCAATCAGGGAATGATTTCAACCGCAAATTAACGGTGCCAAATGGAAGGAAACAGGAAACCGCACTTATCGGATCAAAGTATATAAACACTTGCGCTCCCATTATTATTTGAGCCAGTCGTTATTAACATTTTAATGTTGCAAGTGTCAGAAATAGAGAAACGCGAGTTTATTTAATTTCATTCATCATTTATCTAATTAAAAATTAGAAACTAATTGAAAGATTAAATATTGTCCGCAATAATGGCGCCAGCGCATTTGATTCTACTAATCCTTGTGTCAATTATGTTATTATTTTCGTGCAAGGGACAGCCAGTAACTTTTCCTAAAAGAAATCAATCAGAAACGAAACCGAAATGTCCACCAGGCTATAGGCCTGTACGCACTGGAGGATGCAGGAAAATTTTAAAACTTTGAAGTTATACAACATTTCTCTTTGCTAAAGGTAAATATTTCATTTTTATGTTAAAAAATATTTGTTTTTTTTCGTGTTTTTTTCTTTCTTACATGAAAAGAACACTTGCTGAAAGATGTAAAAATTGTTTCAGATACAAGTCTGAAAATAAATTTTATTGGCCAATCAAAATTTATCAATAGAGCACTCGATCTATTTCATATCGTAGCAAAAAAGTTTTAACGATCTATTAACCAAGATCGAGTGTTCTATAAATTTTGTATGTCCAACAAAATTTATTTTTAGATCTGTCTCTTTTATCTTTCGACAAAAGTGTTTTTTCCGTATTTTTTGCGTCAAAGTCTATTTCTATTTAAAAATAAAAATGTTTTAAAAAGAATAACAAGCATTTTATATTTCTCAATTATTACTATAAATAAAAATAAATTAATAACGAATTATTTTTTTTTAAATTCTAGAATAATGTGAGCAACAACGTGGGACATATTTTTTCAAAGATACTATTCATACTGAGAATAATTACAAAATGTTCATCTTTTCTATAATGCAAATACATTTTATGGCTTGGAAACATATATTAATATGCATTGCACAAAAAACCATATTATATTAAGAGATTTTAATAATTATCATCTATGAAATGTATGCATTTAAAATGTTTTTGAAACTCATATATGTCACATCAATATTTTTGTTAACTATTATTCTAATAATAGTTAAAAATAATTACATTAATAAATAATGTTTAAAAATAAAAAATTAAAAAATAGTTTATCTTATTATTCCTATCCTTTTCATATATAAATATATATGTACAGTATTCATATATAAGATAACTGATCATAAATAAGACATAGGTAGCAATAATAGTAAGTATTGTGTGCGTTTTACTATTTGATAAAAAAATATTTTGCATAATAAAAATGTTAAAGAATTTGCTAATTATTTATGTTATATTTATCTTTAAATAATAGCAGATCAAAATTATGAAATTGATACTATACTGTTCTCAAAAATTTAATAATTATATTGCTTAATATATTAATATTCTTTAAAAAAATTTTTTTATTATCTTTTCAATAATAAATTAATTAAAATTGGATTATGCATTTTTGAGACATACTTCTACATTTCAAAATATTAAATAATATTATTAAAATATATAAAAATCAAAATTTTTAACTAACTTGATATAAAAAAAATATAATTGTTGCCCCAACATTGTTAACATTTATCTTATGGGAGAATTGTTGATTTCATATCTAAATTTATTCAATTTTTTAATTTAATTCAATATTTACCTTTTGCAGTTATCTTACAATGTCGATAAGATGCTATTACATCGCATTTTTCAAAAAATTTTAATTTGTAAGCTCGGTAGATAATTTAAGAATTTGGATATAATCAATTGTCGGTCATATCGACAGTAACACAACATTACCAACAATCGTTTATATCAAAGTTGACTCCATGGAAATTGATTACTTATTAAAATCAATTAACATCAATAGGAGCGTAAAGAGCCATAATGCTGGTTAGTCGTGCGAAGGTTAAGATATATTCATTAAATTGTTTGTATTCATTAAATTGTATATTCATTAAATTGTTGTACATCAAACGTTTCGATCCGCCATCAGGCCTTCTTCAGTGTACAATAGTAAAAATATAAATAAAACAGAAAATTCGCTCGCAAAATTCAAGACAGTGTGAAAAATGTGGAAGACATAAAAAACATCCTTTCCACCCGATTGTGGTTTAGTAGAAAAAATCAGAATTGAATTGAATTCATGTTAAAACGCTGGTCCAAATAGAGAGGACGAGGTGGAAAACAAAGAACAGATAGTCTTATCATTTTGAAGACTTTCAAAAGTCTCTTAGTCAATCATTAAGAGCTTGACTTTCAAAACGATAAGACTATCTGTTCTCTGTTTTCCACCTCGTCCTCTACTTGGACCAGCGTTTTAACATGAATTCAATTCAATTCTGATTTTTTCTACTAAACCACAATCAGGTGGAAAGGATGTTTTTTTATGCCTTCCACATCTTTCACACTGTCTTGAATTTTGCGAGCAAATTTTCTGTTTTATTTGTATTTTTACTATTGTACACTGAAGAAGGCCTGATGGCAGATCGAAACGTTTGATGTAAACAATTTAATAAATATATCTTAACCTTCGCACGACTAACCAGCATTATGGCTCTTTACGCTCCTATTGATGTTAATTGATTTTAATAATCTGCTGAGCCTTATATATTATTTAATTTTGATTACTTATTGTTAGATTAGGTTAGGTAAAATGTTAAAAACAAAATAATTTTGTGAATATGTTACCTTTCCTGAATTTTCCATAAATAAAACGCGACACAAAAACCGTATATTTTTAATATTAATCTGGATATCTTAGAAAATAATGGTAACTATATTTTAATAAAAATTCGACTTAATAAAATTATGACTTTGATAAAATCTAGTCAATGCATAAAAAGCGCCGAAACAAAAAAATAACATCGAGTTATTTATCTACAGCCATTCAAATAAAGAAATATAGATGCAATTAATTGCAGAACGACAAAATAACGTACCCGATGATGATTGTGCTTGAATCGCATTCTTGTTGCACTCAGTGAGAAAATGATGTGAAATATATAAAGCCGATTTTGAGCTTACAAACGTGTACTGACACACTATGTCGAAATCACAAGACTAGTATATGATACGAACACACACCAATAGTTAATACGTTAAGTGCGAAATTAATTCTTAAATAGTAATAATTAAAATAAAAACGGAGCGGTTTCACTACAACATTTCAATGGCCGCGACGCGAACGCCAATGACGCGTTCTATAACTGTGAAATCTATCAAAAAGCAATACTGCCAATATTGAAATATGGAAAACGTATGGTTAATGTATAGCGCGCGTAACCACACATATTAATTATCGAATTTGAAATATTTTAGCACATGTTAAAAATAGTTAAAATATTAAATTAATTGCACTAACTTATTTAATAAGCAGTTTTTCGATATTAGATATAATATTAAAAATAATGAAACAGTAGAAGAAATAAATTATGCAATACTTCTTTAGCGGCGACATAATATTTGAAATACTTTAATAAAATGTTAAAAATAATAAAGTAAATTATTGTAAACAATGCAAACAACATAGCTAATTATATATGAAAAGAATAAAATGTACATACCTGATAATGATAATGTACCCATTCTATCTTTAATTAACTTTAACCTAAAACAAAGAAAATTTTGATTAATTCCGAGCACGTAAAACAAGCTACCGAAATTGCAATATTCGCATATAACAACAATGTTTAACATAAACGTTTGATATTTTACAAAATACTCACAATACATTTTAAAGCGAGATTTACAACAATAACCACGAAAAATACGGAACAACTTGAATGTAATTTTGCGACGTAATCCCAACTGATCGCAATTCATCCTGAAAACAGTATTGCCATTCTTGAAACATAAAAAAATAAAGATACAGTTTAGAATATTTTAATACATATATGAAATAAACGAAATAGTAAATTAATTGCACTAATTTATTTAATAAACCGAGTCCAATATAAAACGTATCTATTATTAAAAACAATAAATAATAAAAGTTGTAATTGTCTAGCACTTGTTTAGCGGAGAAATAATATTTGAAATGCTTTAATAAATAATAAAAATAATTAAGATAAGGTAAATTTTTAAACAATACAATCAACATTGGCTTAGTTTACACCGATTGTTTAGTACGCGTACCAAGTATTAAATCTGCTTCTTTGATTGGTGTAGATTTTACACTAAACGATTTATACCTATCGAAGAAACAAATTTAGTACTTGATACGCGTATTAAACAATTGGTGTAAACTAAGCCATAGATAATTATAAAAAGACAAAATGTATATATTTAGCAAGGTATGTGCAGTTCAAGATAACCTCTAAATGAAAGAAGATGTGATTGACTCCAAATATGTAGAAATAGAAGAAAATTATGTATTCGTGTATAACACTGTGTGTACACAATGTTTAACATGGACAATTAATATTTTGTAAAATACTCACAATAACTTTTAAACGCAAAGTTTATTGTTAAGCAATGTGATAAATGCATTGAATAAAGATCAAATGTATTCGCAATGTTTTTTAAATATATAACATTAGCGCTATCTGCATGAAAATAAGTAAATCATATACGCAAGATAATCAAAAATAATTTATTTACTTTCGTATAGATGGCACTGTAACCATCATTTTGTGTTTTTATTTCTTGTTTATGTGTACTTCAAATGTGTGATTTTATTTCGAAACGATATTAACAAGTGCATCAATCATTTTATAAAAGCACTTGATGGTCTTGTACTTTACATAAGTGGCTAGTTTCTCTACGTCATTATATAATTAAGTCTTGCAAATTGTTACCTTGAGGTTATGAAAAGTGTTATGGAAAGTAATCTCAGAATAGGTTAGGTTAAGTTAATTTTTATATGGAAATTTAAATATTTGCATACACTAACAATAAGCTGCTCAATATTTAAAAAACTACATTTGTTTATTTTAGATTGATGTAAAAGCAATATTTTTATAAATATACTTTTTGTAGATGATTCGAAATATTTTACAATATTTATAAATTTGATTAAAACGATTGATTAAAACATCACAAAAAAGAAGTTTATGTTTAGAGTTCGTTATTCTGATAAGATTGACACATAAATACAGCAACAGGTATAAACGTTTAATCTTTTTCTTTCAATTTTTAATGTTTAATTCAAATTTTAAGAATTTATTGAATTTATCTTTTTTTCAAAGCTTATTTTTTTTTTCAGAGTAATAATATCAGGAGGATTTACTTGTATAAGAGCACACATGTAAATATACTACGTAGTTAAAGCACGATTACGAGTAATGAACTTGTTGCTATTTTATTTCATGCGTTTTTTTAATTATAAGAAAATTTGTAGAATTGGCTTTTAGATTATTACAGATCATGATTAATACGATTATCTTTGAATCGTGCTTTCTGATACAATTTTTGCGATAAGACTGTTGAATATTGTAAAAATGAATATTGTAAAAAAATTTTTTTAACGTTGATATCGTGGCTTATCTCTGCTGTGATTCGTGTGAGTGCATTCGCGGCGCGCACCACACACTCGCTTGTCCATGCGAGGCATGAAATACGCACGGGACGTGTTCGTTTCATCAGTCGATCGCGGTACGGGGACTTGGTATGCTCAGGTGTGTGTCGTCGCATGCTTATCGTTACTTTTACGGAGCAAAAAATCGACCCATAGCTTAGTTGTGAAACGATTAAATAATTACTAATAATAGCCAAATAATAATAATTGAAACAACGTAATATCCATCGTGTTTTTATTGAATTTTTTGTGTTTGTGCAGAGTGAAGAAATCGCAGAATAAAATTATCATAGAAATGCAATCGCGACAACGCAATACATCATCTGGTAGTCAGCTGCTATACTTTGGCGCGAAAATATTCATTTTTGCGATCATCTGCAATGAATTTATGGGACAAGTTAGCAGTCAGTTTCATGGCAATCCGGATGGCATAGTCTTCCCTGGACCAATAAACTCGAGATCGAGGAGCAGATCTGTTAATGAACCCACGGAGGGCTCCGCAGATGACAACGATTCACCGGTAAATTGGTATACGTTGATCCTGATTCTTGAATTAAATTAACATATTTTCTATTCAAAATATAAATTAATTTAAATTTAGTTATCCAATATTTAGCCTTCCATCAATCAAAGTGCGCTGAAAAGTTAAAAATCTGAAAGCTAACAGACAATAATTGTTGCAATTTAAAATAATGAATATATTATATTAGCAAAATATCCACTTTTGCTACACTCTCAATAGAAACACCGAAATCTCACGTCTAATCTCTAATATTTTATTTTATCCAATTGGTTGCAAAAACAGCAGAACGGTTTTAAACTAACAACGATGAACGCGCAACACTTTCGTTTTCAAGATTTACTTTCTGCAAAGGTCGAAATAACGTTAAAGGCCGAATTTATCAATGTCGAGGACATATTTCTGGTGAAATAATTGCAGTGCGCGTGCGACATGTTTATGATTCTCGACACGCTGTTCGCGACTCGATGTAAAACCTATCATACGTCATACAATTGTGCAAATATGTGATCAAATAGCTCGTCACTGATCAGTAATTATGTTGTTATTTCTTTATAATACAAACGTTATTCTGTAACCAAGAACAAAATTACAAAATAATGATAGGGTAAATTTAAAAGCGCAAAAATATAACGTGAGATAAGTTTACGTATAACTAAAGAAATAACTCGGTAAACATGTTTAGTAGAAATGTTTATGTCTGTAATTAATTATTAGCTAATGTAATATTGTCATCAGATAATTATAATATTGTCATCAGGATTGACTCGTAATCGGTAGCGAAATCGAGGCTATGATTAATAAAACATAACGGCTCTAAACCCAAGACAGCCTTGCTACCTGGCAAGGTCGGAGCCAGCAATTCCAAGAGTCGCTTTCGAGTAAAGGAAAAACGAGAATCACGGTCGTTTTCACGATGTCGCTCATTCTTTATTCTTCTCATTTTTCCCGCAAAATAATCGGTCGAAAGTCAAAAATAAAACAGATTCATTCAGAGTACCACAATTTCTCGTACGAAAGATTATGGTTCCTAGAAAGCATATCTTCGGTGCATAAAATATCTCTCGATTATGCAAATCGTAAGACTGCGAGCAACCTGTTTTCCAAATCCCACGAGACTGCATTTGTGCTCGTGTCACCTGAAGAAATATTTGCTCGAAAATTAAAGAAGCAATAGTGTTTCCAGCGCATTGCATATTGTATGAAAACGTACATATATTGTAATTATTTTCCGCAATCTTACAAAGCGCAGATGAGTCAAGTTTCTTCTTTGAAATTAATATACAATTTAATGAACACACTTAATATTGGCTATTAGTGATAGTTTAACATAACTGATGCGAATACTAGACTCTCGAGTCACTCGTTACATAGCTGTAAGTTGTTTGCTCCTTTTTTGATGTGCTATAATAGTGATCTTGAGAACCTGTTCTAATCGTGATATTGAAGCTAGAAGCGATTTTACACCCATTCAAAGCAGTGGCTATCAACAACTATAAAAGTAACTATAAATAATGTTGCAAACATATGATATCATCTGTTATCTATAGATTCCGTCATCGATCAACTTCACTTTCCCTTAACAAAAATATCAAGCAATCAGTTGTTACGTATTAAATTAATAAATAATTAAAAATAGAAAGTTATTCACGAGTTAAATTACACAATAACAAATTATATATAAGATATATAACAGAATGAAAGTTTTATTTATTTTTCTGACATTTAATTTTTCATTATAAAAAATTAAAATTATTCTATATCACTTAAGAACAGAAGTACACATAAAACTTGTTTTATTTTAGACGCTGAGAATGTAAAATAATGTAATTAAAAAAAACGTGCAAATTTTGTTACCGAAGAAAAATTTTCTAATGTGTAATATGGATCGGCTATTGACCGACTTTCATTTTGTCAAGATGATTTTCTACTTAGTCATGCAAGTATCCGCGATCGAACAGGATGATTCATAGTTTACGGGAATACCCTAGTCGAAGAACTTAATTTTTTATTTATTCAACATTTATGAGATTGTATCGAAGATCGAGATTGTATAGAAAGAAACTTGTAATTATATCCTAGCACTTACAATCCATTAAAACTTATCATCTCTGTTTCTATTCTCAAGAATTCGTCATGCTGCGCCTAGAATCGAAATAAATATAAGAAATTTTTATTTTAAATCTGTCTTTACTTGCGTTACATTTTCCGGGATAATCTTGTACAGGAAAATCGCTAACCGCAAACTATTAATATCATAAATAATAATTATTTCCTCGATAAAAATTTCTTCATATTTAATTGATTGTGAATTAAAGATATTAACAAGAAATTTTTTACTTTCAGCACATTTCGAAAAAAAATGAAAGTTAACAAATTATAACTTCGACTTTTCTGCGCATTTACGTATATTAATCCCACGATTGCATCTATGACTAATCCTTATCGATTTCGATAAGATTATTTTCGAACAAAGATACGCATACATATTAGATATAGCAATTACTACATATACACAATGTAACAACAATCTTTGATCATCTTTCCAGGTACCGCTCAGTTTAGCAGCTAGATTAAATTCCATAGAAACAACGGATGAATTCCTGCAGTTACTTCAAGGTGTTCCAGGGAACCAAAAAATAGACCCTTTCTTCATCAGTCCCAGTAAGTTGCATCTTTATTACGTACGAATAATAAATAAATAGTAACCTTGAGGAAAACCGATTGTAACATAAAAAAAAGACAAATCAAATTTATTTATTGCAAATTCTACTTTTATTAAATAAAGATATAAAAAAATCTATTAGTATCATAACTTATTATTATAACTAGGAAATATATTGTCATATAATCATAGGAACAGGTCTGGAAATATGTTGTTAATTATGTAACAATATCGCGTAGTCACATACACAGTTTGAGACTATCGTAAAAATACTAATAGTTTGTCGAGAAAGCAAATAAAACCACTGCGGCCGTAATAAAATCAATATTTTACTTCGAACCAGGAACATAAATTAAGTCACGGTGTGTTTTATTTTATTATTTACACTAGGTAGTTATCACTGTAGACTGAGACTAAGCCATAAGTTTACATGGATCTTGTGCATTTGGATGCTTTTGTGGCAACGATATGCAATAATTGACAATAAAAATTATATGATAATATAAAATGATAAAATATGATGAAATAAAAATTATATGATAATATAATTTTTGACATGATAATGAATATGACAATATAAAAAATATGATCTCTTACAAGTTTAAAATGTTTTTAACTTTGTAATTGTCCATGACGTCATATGGACGTTATTTTGCCGTTTTCTGACGTCATTTTGCTACAAATTGTAAAGTTGATCAGCGCAGAAAAGTTTCTCATTGTTGCGAATACAAATACATTGTTACAAATTCGCCGAAGCGTTTCCGGTCGATTAATTCATCTGGCAGTACTGAATAGTTCGACCGAACACTAGTTAGACCATTCAGTTGTAAATTTGTAATATATAGATTCAACCTGCGTCGATTCTTATACGGTTAATTATCATTATTTTCAACTTATTTATAAACGATCATGTGAATTTGATATATAACTTTGAATGATTTTTTATTTGGACAATTAAAAACCAATTTATTTTCCACGTACTGCACGGAAGAACGTGGCTTCATTTCCTCTTCAAAAGATTTCAAAAAATTCTCGCGATCTTTTACAAAATTTATAGGTCTTAAGTAACCATTGAAATAATAATCTCTGTTCAGTATTGATTGCGTGTCAATTTGCATTACCTCTTCTAGACTTGGCATTCTGTTATTTTCTTGTGTATTATGTGCACTATGGTGAGCTGCAATGTAAAGGTTTGGTTCACAAACAAAATGAGTTTCTTTCGGTGTAACACAGGATTTTTCAGTAGTTTTTTTCACAATTGTCGGCAATTTGTTATCAGTCAGAAGCGAATACGCAATTTGGAGTTTGCATTTCCGCGTCCAGTCTTTCTGCTTCGACATTCTTGACCAATGATAACATGAGAAAGAATCTAAAAATAAATTAATATATATTTCACTAATGCATAATTTAATTTGCTTTCAAAATGGAATTTTTTTCTGACACTACCTTCTGATGCGTATTTTTGTACAAATTTTATTCTCCATTCGTCTCCAGGTACTTGATCGTGTTAGCTTCAGATCCGTCTCCTTGACTACACTCTCTGTTGATGGCTTGATAGTTGGTGCCATTTCCTCTTCCAATTTTATCCTATTAATGTTATGTATGTGTACGTTCTGGACGAAGGCTTGAGACGTAATCTCGGGCTCGAAAAGATTACGGAGATCGTATTCGTTAAGATCATAACTCTGATCATCCGTCTCGGCGATTGCATTCGCACTAACTTGATTTTGATTTTTTATATTAGTATCGACATCCGTGTAGTCGTAATACATATCGCTCGGTATTTTTAATTCGTTTATATATGTTTCAATATCAAATCTGTCTGTATCATAGTTTTTCTCAATGGAAGTATTTCTTTTATCACTTTCCTGCTTAGAATCTATCGCATTCTCACAGGTCATTGACATTTCAGTCTCGTGCAAATATCCAGCCAGTGCTTCGCCAGAACAATTGCTCGTGTGGGTTTCAAGTTTTACTTCCGGACTATCATTACTCTGATCCGAAGATTGTTCTTCTTCCTCCCTACATAGAGAATGAAATCGTCTTTAGATATCTAATGTAGAAAAGTGTTACATTTCCAAGACAATTTACTGCTAAATATGATGCATTGATAATTATACAATTAATGTAAATTTTAATATTCTTACTCATTCGGCTGCTCATCCCAAGCAATGCCCGAGATTGGCATAATGTTGGGAAACGAATGAAAAGATTTTATTTCATTAGACAAAAGAAAATCAACTACGTTTTTCTTTCCCATAATCTTCCGGCCGAACCATATGAATATCACATCATCTGCAAAATAATTCTCTAAATCAGAAACCATGCCATCGGCCAGTATAAAATAATGGTTTGCAACTGAGATTGCTTGGGCACGTTTGTCGGTCATGTTTGCGTTCTGAAAAGTAAAGAAAATAATATCGCTTTAATATCTTTCAATTACTTGTTTTAATAACGTAATTTATTACAGCATAAAATTAACAAACAAAAATGTTTATCGTTATCTTATCCGAATTCTTCTAATAATACAGAATGTTCACGTAAAAAAAAAGACAAAAATATCTTTTACTTGGTAATATTTTGCCAACAAATTGTCAAAATTTTCTACTCATTATAAAACACTAAATTATGCAACCCGGATGTTATAATACGTTTAACAGCACGTAAATGAAAATTGTTCAACTAAATTCAACAATGCACAATACAAACGAAAATTCTTTCAGGTAGATTCGGCGAAGGCGAGGAACGATCTAGTGCGATAAGACCAGCGCCGGCCAGATGCATGCCCGAGCTGCAACCTGTTTCTTTAAAGCTGGACGACGATCCTACGACGATTATCTTCCCGTCTTGCACACGAATCAAAAGATGCGGCGGATGTTGTGGTAGCTCTCTGCTCTCGTGCCAACCAACAGCGATGGAGATCCGAAACTTTGAGGTAATCGATCGTCATCGAGTTGAAAAATACGAATGAAAACGCGCCTATCATTACGAGCAACCAACTCGAAAGAAAGCAGTAATTGTTAAACATCTTTTTTATCCGTGTTGTTGTTTTAAGGTGATCGTGTCGTCGGTGTCACTGAATTACAAAGGCCGACAAATCGTGCCGCTGGAGGAGCACACTAAGTGCAAATGCAACTGCAGAATCAAGGAGGAGGTAATTTGACAACAACCGATAATTGGCGGATAATCGGCGCCTTCCTGCTTAACCAGGCCGCGCGGTTTGCGAGTTTCACACCTCACGCATCGTCTCGTTGTATTGTTTCTCACGCGACATGTACGTGTGTGGTCGCTCGAATTACGTCAGCCAGTCAGTCGATTGAAAAGAGCTCCGCTCCCAAGTATTCTAGCAATGCTCGAAAAGACATTAGAAATAGAAGTGATAAGCGATCCAGAAGCATGAATCATCCTCCAACATATGCAGTTTTATTTTATTTATCTTTCACGCATATAGTATAAGATTGCCGTTTTAATTATGAGATATTATGTAATCGCGATATAAGAATCT